GGGCTCCTTGAGCAGAGACAGGCCTGAGGGACAGGGCACATGGGTGAGCAGCGTGCTTCCAGTCTGTGGTTTCTTTGGGGTTTCTCCTTAGTGTCTGCTACCCTCCTCCTGGCCTTCCAAGTTTCAGTCGTGTCTGACAGAGCATTAGGTTTTCCTGTTACTGCTGTTTAATAATAAAGGAAGATTCTGCTTTTGGCAATCATGGGCACTTTTTTCCCCTCCACCCAATGGCCCCCTCCACCAGAACTGAAAACTGCCTTCGAGTGGCTGAGGCTGGTTTTCTGAGCCCTGCAGTAACTATATCTAATATATATAAATAGAGACTATATATTGTATGTTTACTTATTTTCAAAAAGAGAAAGTGAATAAAAATGATGACATCAAGTGTGTCCCTGGCCAGTGTGTCAGGTCCTAAGGCTCTTCTGGGTGGGGTCCCGGGTCCCCTGGGGTCCAGGGCCAAGGGCTCGAGCTGTGTACGGGCCCTTCCCTCCACCCTGTCCTTAAAAACTGACTTCTGAGGACTGTTGGTCTCCCTGGCACCTCTCCCGCCCTTGATCTCAACTCCACCCCAGCCGACTCCATCTCGCTTTTGATGTTGGCTTGGAGGGTGACATTCCATTTTGGTTTTCCTCAGCTCCCTGCCTTTGGGAGGTTCCCCAGAGTGGCAGGGAGGTCCTCTGATTGGGGGCAGCTGTGGGAGAGGGAGCGGGTAGGCAGGCTGAGCACTGGGCCTGTCTGGGCAGGCTGTTACCCACCCTGCATCTGCGGCTGGCTGAGTGTGGGTACTAAGCTGGCGTTCGCCCCAGCTGCCATCGAGGACACCGCATGTGGCCCCAGTCCTGGCATTGGCCTGGCTCCCCAGGGAGGGCAGCCAGATCCTGGGCAGGGCTCTGGCAGCAGAGTTGCCATTGGGTTCTCGGTGCCTGGTGGCCATGGGCCTTCAGTCTGCTTCTGGGGGCGGAGCAGCCCAGGTGCCCCAGCCATTCCCTGTACCCCACCCACCTCTGGCACTGCTGCCTTCCCAGCTGCCCAGGGCTGAAGGAAGAGGCTGTGTACCTCTCATGGGACATCGGCAGGGGCACCTGGCCCTCACTATCTCTCCTCTGACCCCTGGGATATGGCTCTGCTTCCCTGGGGACCACAGAGTCTAGAACCAACCAAGGCCGTTGATTGTACAACTCTAGTTCGCACCTGGCCCGAAAGTCCCCAGGCTCAGAAGGCCCTGTGCAAACATAGCTGGAGTCCCCTCCAGCTGTGGGCTAGAGGGATGTGAGTCCTTGGTGTTGCCTGCTGCCCCTGCCCTCCTGGGGGCCCAGCTCTCACCCAAACACCCTGTGAGTGCACTGCTAGCTCCCCCAGCGGCTCCCCGCTCAGTCATCCAGGGCCTCACAGAACTTGCTGTCCCCGCCCTCCACCCCTGAGGGCAGGAGAGTTGAAGTGTAGGATAGCTGTCCGCAGTGGCGAGGGCAACTTGAGGCCTGGGACCAAGCACCTGGGTGAGGAGGAAAAGCTGATGAGAAAGGCTGGCCTGTTGGGACAGAGGGCCTTGGAATGTCACCAGACATCTTGGGCTCGCCCTCCTAACTCAAGCCGAGCTCGGGCCTCAGGCAATTGTAGGATGGACCTCACCATGATCTTGCCCCTCTCCCACCCACACGGCGCTGGCATGACAGGACCCAGCAGAGTGTTACTATGCACAGGGAGAAGCCGAGGCAGACAGCCTTCTCACCCACAGTTCCCCAGGCCTGGGCCTCACCTCCTCACCGCGTCAGGAAAACAAGGGCCCAAGCCTGTAGAGTGCTTTAGGGGACATCCAGTCTGTGCCCTTCCACTTCCCTGTCCTGCCATCACCTCGTGAGGGCCCATCACGGGCCTCCTCCCCATCTCACGTGGCACTCCTGGTCCTGAGAGTGGGCCTGATGCCTCTCGGAGGCCTCGGCATCCCGCAGAAGATTCTCCAGTGTCTGGGGCTTTCCCAGGCAGTCGGGGAATTCAACAACAGCAACCCATTATTCCTGGAGGGGGCTGATAGGTTCCCTCTGGGCCAGCCACTGTGCTAAGGCCTGCGGCCTGCCCTCATTTTGCAGTTTTTATCTTCAACTAGTGATTTGCTTTGTTTTTTGTCTTTGTGGAGAGAGTAATTCCAGACCGTGGTAAGATCAGCCACACAAAGGATAGCGTTCTCCCCCCGACCCTTCTCCACGTCTTAGTTTTCTTCCCTAGAGGCAAACTTCATTGCCAGATTTTGGTTTTCTTCCAGAATATTCCATGCAAGTATACGATTAAATCCACAGAGGTATTTACTAAACAAATGGCAGCATGCTCAAAACACTACCAGCGCTCTTCTTTTCTTGCCCATCAGTACAAACACACCCGCTGCAGAATTCCTTGCACGGATGGGCCACCAGAGCTGGTGCCTGCTGACGACATTCAGGCCGGTTCTCTCGGCTATGAGTCTGGGTGTCGGTGTCGTGACTATCTTCCTACATTCATCCTTGCTCGTGGGCACAAATGTAGCTGTAGCATTGAGCCCTAGAATTGCTAGACCAGAGGTATAAGCATTTTCCTTTTTTTTTTACTTTTTTTTTTTTTGAGGCAGATTAGGGCTAACATCTGCTGCCAATCCTCCTCTTTTTGCTGAGGAAGACTGGCCCTGAGCTAACATCCATGCCCATCTCCCTCTATACGTGGAACGCCTGCCACAGCATGGCTTGCCGAGCGATGCCATGTCCACACCCGGGATCCAAACCAACGAACCCCAGGCCACTGAAGTGGAACGTGCGCACCCAACCACTGCGCCACTGGGCCGGCCCGCATTTTACATTTTAAATTTTAGTTCTTGTTTTGAAAAGGTAATGCATTCACATGGTTCAAAATCCAAAGGGCAAAAAAAGACAGAAGTGAAAAATCCTCCTCCGTCCCCTCCTTCCTCTCCCCACAGGAACCACTGGTACCTTCCAAAGAGACTCAGTGGTGTCTAACGTGGGTTTTTCCCTTTTTATACACAAACGGTAGCATGAAATAAATCCCATTCTGCACCGCACTTACATCTTGGGGACTTTCCATTATCAGTCCATTATAGAGACAACCTCATGCCTTTTTATAACAGCTCTGTGCTTTTCCATTGAGTGGAGGCACCATCATGAACCAGTGCCCTCGTGATGGCCGTTGACTTGTGTCTACGGTGTTGCCAGTACAGGTGATGCTGCAAAGAATATTCACTCTCATTCATCGGTAAATGCTCGAGATGGGAATTGTTGGGTCGAAGGTAGGTATAGTACATTCGTAATTTTGTTGCTAAAAATTCTCCAATTCACACTCCCACCACCCAGGAATGAGATGCCTGTGTCCCCCACACCCTCACAAACTCAGTGTTCCTGATGTGTGCCAAACTGACGCGTGAAAAATGGTACCTTACCGTGTTTTAAATGTGCCTCTGTTCATGTGTTTTCAAGCCATTTGTCTGTCCTTTTCTGTGAGCTGTCTTCCTAGTTTTTGCCCACTTACTATGTGGTCACTGGTCCTTTTCTTACTGATTTGTCATTGTTTCTCCCTATTTTGTTACTCCCCATTTTGTTACTCCCCATTTTGTTACTTTTCCATGCTGAAATTGGTTTTTATGCAGTCTTCTTTTAATCTCGTCTTTCTTTCTCGTACATGTCTGATCTTAGTTTTTGCATTTCGATCCTGTTCCATCTGGGCTTCATATCAGCAACGAGGTAGGATCCAACTTCCTCTTTTCCCAGATGGTTACCCAGTTGTCTCCACACCATCTACTGAATAATTCATCTTTTCCCCACAGATTTGAAATGTCATTTGTAGCATATACTAAATTCCCACATACATATGAGTGCTTTTCTGGACTCTGTTCTGTATCAGAGAATTTGTCTATTCATTGGCCACTGCGTTTTTTAAAAATTATGGTGCCTTTATATTTTCATATTTATAGTATTCTCTTAATCACCCTCTTTGTCCCATTTGAACTTTAGAACTAGTCTGTTTTTTTAAGAAAAATTGATACTATTTTTATTTGGATCACATCAAGTGTTTATATGAACTTATGGAGAATTGACATCCTGATAATGATGTCAGTAATAATATTAATCATTCTATCGAAATACAGGAGTAGATGCCTTTCCACTGCTTCGTGCTTTTTTTACATCTCTGTAATATTTTTAAGTTTTCTTCATTTAAAAGTTCTTGCATGCACATTTATTCCTACATAGATTCATAAGTATTTTCTATTTTTTGGTTCCTTTTATAAATGGACTCTTTTCTATATATATTTATGATGTGAATATATATTTGTTAGTATATACTATAATATATGGGAATTATATTTACCGCATAAATAACAAATTATATAATTTTTAAACTAAACTCCAGACTTTATTCGGATCCACTAGTTTGCCCACTCACGTCCTCGTTCTGTTCTCAGATCCCACATTCCATGTGGTTGTCATGCCTGCTGAGTCTCCTCTGGTCTGTGACAGTTTCTCGGACTTTGTTTTTCCTGACCTTAACAATTTCAAGGAGTACTGGCCAGGTATCTTGTAGACTACCCCTCAATTTGGGTTTGTCTGATGTTTTTCTCTCGGTAGATGGGGTTGTGGGTTTTTAGGAAGAAGACCAGAGAGGTGCCCTTGTCGTCACATCATGTCAGGGGTACACGCTCTCAACATGACTTATCACTGTCACATTGGCCTGGATCACTTGGCCAAGGTCGTGTCTGCAGCCTCCTCCCCTGAGAAGTTACCTTCACCCCTTTTCCATACTCTTCCTTAGAAGCAAGTCACTAAGTGCCGCCTACACTCAGAAAGAGCGTGGGGGCAGGGAGTAGCTGCATAAATTATTTGGAATTCTTCTGGAAAGAAGATCTGTTTCTTCTCGGGCATTTATTTATTCATTCAGTCCTATCAGTTTGGACTCATGGATATTTATTTTATAATTTGGGCTTAATTCAAAAGTACATTATTTATTTTGTTGCTTAAATTGTTCCAGCTTTGGCCATTGGGAGCTCTTTCAGGCAGGCTCTGTGTCCCTTTGACATGCCACCATCCTTTTGTTTCTTTGGAGCATTCCCTTACTTTCTGATATTTCAAGACGCTGCAGGCTCATCTTGTGTTTGTCCTGCTCCAACCCTGGCCTCAGCCATTTCTCCAACGAGCCTGGTTCCTTTCCCTGGAGAGTGGTCTTAGAGACCAAGAGCTGGGTGCTGGGTGTGCTTGTTATTCTATGGTGGCCCTTCAGCAGACAGATCCAGGAAATCTGTGTGTGCATGCATACCCACATAGACATGCCTACACCTCCATTAGGTTTTGTAACTAATAGCTATTTGCATATAAAAACGAAATTGTTTCATGTGTACAAATTTTGTTCCCCTCCAAGCCTTACTAAATTGTCTTGTTTTCCTCTTTGTATCATCTCATCTCACCCCACAACAACTCTATGAAGTCAAGACCATTATTGTCCCCTTTATAGAGAAGGAAACTGAGGCTCAGAGAATTCAAGTAACTTGCACAGATGACACACCCCTGGGAGGAGGTTTCAAACCCAAGAGGTCTCACTTTGGGGGCCTGCAAGCTCTGCCCTCATGGCTGTAAGACCCCGCTGGCCTTCAGGAAGCTAACCAGCTACACTCAATGCGCAGCATTATGATGATGACCAAGGACCCACTAGGCGCCAGGCATCTCAGAGGTAGGGGCGCCTGCCCATTCAGGGCTTAGGAAGTAAGTTACTGCTGGGACAAGTGGTGTGGAGCTGTGATCAACAGGCAAGACAGACCATGATTAATGGTCAGTGGAATGGCCCAGATGGCTGGGCCAGAGGAGTCCAGAGCAAGTACCCCTGGGAGCTGAATGCAATGCAGGGTGCTCAACCCCAGGGAAGGGCTGAAATCAGGCCAGTTGGGAAGAAGCCATGTGGCAAAGATCAGGCAGTAGTGGGGACATCCAGTCATGGGGGGCTAGGGCAATGATCGAGGGGACACAGAATTCTCCACCAGTGCCTGTCCCTCTCAACCACCACCCAGCCCACCCCACTTAGTGTGGCTTAGTCCTTCAGGGCTCAGCTTAGGTGTGTCACCAGGCCCTTCCTGAGCCCCTACCATCAGCCAGGCTGGTGCCTGCCCCCGGTCCCCTCAGCCCACAGACCTGAACCAGCCCAGTGCTCCTGTTTCCATCTGTCTGTGCCTGGTTGCATGTCTGTCTCCCTGACAAGTCACGGAGGGCAGGCCGTGTGCGCAGCACCACGTCCCATGTGCTGAAGGAGCAGATGTGTGGATGCTTGGTGGGTGCTCCCTGGAGCAGCGGACAGGAGCATGGGAACCGTGGTGCAGCAGCCAGCAGCCTGACTGCCCCTCCTTGGGGAGGGAGGGAGGGGACCAATGAGAGAAACTTTGAAATTCACATCCCAGGCTGACAGGCAGCCCAAGTTGTCTGGCTTGCTAGCTTTGGGAAGCCTGGCACCAGGGCTGCCCACTCCTGTCACAGCTAAGCTCAGCCCCTTTGGGTGACAGGGGGCCTTCCTCAAAGTCCCTCCTCACGGGGCCATGGGCTCCAGCTGACCTCTTCCTGAAGTCCCTTTGGCCCCTGGGCCCAGATGAAGTTGAGTTTCTCAGAAAGTCAGGCAGTGGCCCAAGGTCCTGGGTTCCAGTCCACGGGCTGCCATTTTCCTGCTGAACAATTTTGGGCCAATCATCACATCCCTCTGAGTCTCGATGAGCACGCAGCCATGGGTCAGGGCTTGGCACAAGCACATCATAGGTCCTTGGCAAATGGGAACTGCTGTTAGTGATGCTGATGCAAGAGTCTACTAGGGAATGTGCCAGCCCAGCGGAGTGTGCAGCTCTGTGGGAGCTTTAGGACAGCCCCTGTCCACAGTGTCCTCCATCGTTCCAAAACCACACACTGAGAAAGCACATGGGGACTCAGAGCCACCTCACACACAGCCCTGTTTTTGGTTCCTGAAGAAGCCCTGCCCAAGGAGGTACTCTGTCAGAATGTGAAGCAAGGAAGGTTTTCCAGAGGAAAGACACCCAGAACTGGCTCCCAAGGGTGTGCAGGAGCAAGGAGAGAGGATGCTCCGGGCAGGGAAGGGGGACAGTGCCAAGAACCTTAAGGCAGACCGTGCTGATGTCAGTCCCACATCCTGCTGAGTGCCAAAAGGGACGGGGTGCTTAGTTTATTTACTCCCTGCCTTGTTCCCCAAAGGAAGTGAGGCAGCTCACAAACCCCAAAAGCCTGAAAAGAGGAGAAATCTAGTGAAGGGAAAAGTCATGGTGCAAAAGGAAGAGGAAGTCAGGGGTCCCCACTCACCGGGCTTTAAGATCTGGAACACCTGCCAGAGGTAGCTACAAGTCTGGCTCTCAGCTCCCTAGTGGCTGAGGAGAAGAGTGAAAGCAGACCCAGGGCCCTGATCCAGTGTGAAAGGACGAAAACACACTCACTGGTCTGGAGAAACACCTCTGGTTGCCATCACCTGCTGCTTCTCCACTCCATGGCTTACCTCCTCCTCTCTCTTCCACCTCCTCCAGGCTTCGGTGGGCACGTTGTCTGTGCTCTTACAGTTCCTGGATCCCATGTGTTCAGAACCTTCTCTCTTAAGGCAAGACTTTCTTTCTTTTTTAAATGCATCTCAGCACCCTGGCAAGCAGTAAGATTGAGAATATTTTCTGAAGAGACAGATAAGTGAAATCCTTGGGCAGCACAGGAACATGGAGATGTCTGTGCATCTCTCCCAGTACCTGGGCATCTGGTCAGAGACGTGGGAGCCCCCTCTGCAGGCAGGAGGCAAGCAGAAGCAGAGGGTGGGCAAACCCAGACTTTCCAAGCTGTGATGCGGAAAAAGCTTCTCACCAGGCCCCAGGGAGCGGGCATTTGGGCTTTGAGGGAAGCTGCAGGTGGAGACTCGGGCAGAAAAGTTGGCCTTAGCAGGGACCAAGGTGGTGTTGGCCAATTGCTGGATCTTTCAGCCTTGTTGGGACAGGGATTTGGGGCTGAGCTGCTGTGACCCAGTGGGTACTCACTCAGCACCCTCTCTCCCGCCCTCCCTCAGTGACGGCCATTTGACATGGGGGGCGGGGGGGGGGGTGGTGCTCCTCAGAGGGACCACAAGGCTGCAGGTCAGGGGCCATCCACTTCCCCCAACCCTGGAGAGTCCCCTCTCGGGCCTGTGTTCTCTCTCAAACGGAGATACCAGGTGGAGCCTGTGGCTTCCAGGATCACCATCACGTAGGTAACAGTTTAGTAAAAAGCCTGGCATGTAGTAAGTTCTCAAGAAACGGTGTCTGCCTTTGATGGATGCGGAGCAGAGAGCCAGCGCAGTGCGGCGACTCACCCAAGGTCACACAGCCAGGGCTGGATCCGACCCCGGGCGGCCTGACTCCGGCGGGCCGGGGTTTGTCTCGAGCCAGCTTGGGGAGCGGTGTTTGGAGGAGCGGACGCGGACGTGGGCGGGAAGGGACTTCTATTTTGGAACCGGTGAGAGGATCGCTGTTCGCCGAGAGGGTGGGTTTCTCCCCGGGCTCCCTGCGCCCCAGTCACCTTCTTGCGACCCTTCCCGGGAGGGGCGTCCTGGGCGGGTAGGGGGAGGTGGGAGCGGTGGGCGGGCGGTTACCTCATCGCTGCCTCCCGGAGGCTCCGCTCGCTCGCTCGCTCGCACCGCCGGCTGGGGCGGCGACTCCGGGCGCTGGAGCGAGAGAAGGACGGAGGGACGGAGGCGCCGAGAGGCAGCGCTGCCCCGCGCCCCGCGCCGCTGTGGACCCGCGCGGCCGGGAGGTCGGACCTCGGTGCCTGCGCTGCCCGTGGCGCCTCCGGTCGCGCTGCGGGGCCGAGGCGGTGTCTGCGCGCCGCGCGCCGGCTCATCTCTCCAGAGCTTCTGCACCCGCCGGAGCTGCTCGTGCGTCCGCCGTCGGCCTGCGCGGCTGTCTGTCCGGCCTCCCGCCGCCAGCTCCGTCCCCTGACCTGGCCTCGTCGGGCCCCGGGTGCGCCGGGGGCCGATGAGGAGTGAGGCGGGGCTGGGGCGCACGGGGCAGGGCGCACGGCGCGGCGCCGGCCCATGAGGCTTCCCAGCGCGGGGCGCGGCAGCGCGCGCGGGCCATGGGGGGCAGCCTGCGGGTGGCCGTGCTGGGCGCCCCGGGTGTGGGCAAGACGGCCATCATCCGTCAGTTCCTGTTCGGTGACTACCCCGAGCGCCACCGGCCCACGGACGGGCCGCGCCTCTACCGGCCCGCGGTGCTGCTCGACGGCGCTGTCTACGACCTCAGCATCCGGGACGGCGACGGCGCTGGCCCGGGTGTGAGCCCCGGGGGTCCAGAGGTAGCGGCTCCACGGGCGGGTCAGGGCGTTTGACAGCGTGTGTGTGGGGGGGGTGCTCGGTGCACACGTGCGCGTCCGCGTGGACAGCCCTGGGATGTCTGACTGGGTTCATGCATAGGAGGATGAATGTGTGTCCTGGTCTACGTATGTCTCACCCCTTCTCGCCGGCCTGGAGGCTCCCAAGACCAGGCCCGAAGCCCCGGTTTGCAAAGTGGCTTCTTCTCCCTCGCCTAAGTGCCTTTCTTTGCCTGCCTCCGCTGGCGGGTCCGGATCAGCGCGTAGCGGAGCACGGTCGCGCTTCCCTGAGAGAGAGCTTTGTGTGTTTGCGGGCTTGAGCAGGGCCGCAGTGGGAGAGGTTGGGGCCAGACACAGGGGTGTACTTCCTCGGGGGGTCATTCTCTGCTCCCTCATTCCTGTGATCTGGAGCAAAGACCCGTTTGGTAATTTGTGCAAAGTCCAGGACAGACTGAATCCTTGGAGCCGGACGCCTCCGAGAGGTGAAGAGGAAAGAACAGGCAGGATTAAGCAAGGCTTCCTGGAGGGGGTGGCATTTGGGCTGAACCTGGAAGGATGAGTGAAGTTTTGATTTAAAAAAGTGGCAAAAGCCTTCCAGCTGGAAAGGACAGCTTGTGCTTAGGCCGGAGCCTAAATGTGTACAGCTGCCGACAATCAGTGCTCTCCGAGGGCTGGGGTAACACGGGGCCGCGAGCTTTGGAATCAATCTGAAGGCAGTAGTAACCAGCGCTAGGGTCTAGGGAGGGGAGGGGCCTGACCCAAGCTGAGCTGTGGAAAGCTGGGAGGAGGAGGAAGAAGATAGGGGGTGGGCAGAGAGGAGACCGGGAGTGAAGGAGGTGACCGGCTTCAGGCACTGCTTGTAAATTTCTACCCTGACGGCCATGAGGACAGTGGGGCCCAGGGAGCTGGCGGGAGAGGGCGCACAGATGGGGATGGGGATGGGGACGGCCGAGGCCTGAGGATGAACTATGAGTTCACCGTCGAGGCCCCTGCAGAAGGTCAGGGCGTGGGAGCGTGGGAAGGGGGCTCCGGCAAACCCCGGCCTCCCGCCCCCAGGAGTGGCAGGATCCTAAGGACTGGAGCTTGCAGGACACGGACGCCTTCGTGCTCGTCTACGACATCTGCAGCCCGGACAGCTTCGACTACGTGAAGGCGCTGCGGCAGCGCATCGCCGAGACCAGGTGGGGGCGCAGCCCCAGCTGTGGGTGGGGAGGAGAGGGGTGGGGAGCGTTTGCCAGTCTGGCTGGGCCTTTGCCCGAGGGGATTGGGTGGGTCCTTCCGCCGCCATGGGTCGGGTCTCAGGCCTGCCGGGCCAGGCCTTTGTCCATGGGAAGGTCTCCAGCTGTATCTGGTGTTTGGGCCACGCGGGTCTGGTGTTTGCTGGGGGTCTCTGGCCACAGGAGGGGATGCTCCTGAGTGTCTATACCCACTGGGGGGATTCAACGGCCGTGGGATCCCGCGGCCCTCATCCCCATCTGGCCCCCAGGCCGGCGGGCGCACCGGAGGCACCCATCCTCGTGGTAGGCAACAAGCGGGACCGGCAGCGGCTGCGCTTCGGGCCTCGGCGCGCGCTGGCCGCCCTGGTGCGCAGAGGCTGGCGCTGCGGCTACCTCGAGTGCTCCGCCAAGTACAACTGGCACGTGCTGCGTCTCTTCCGCGAGCTGCTGCGCTGCGCTCTGGTGCGCGCCCGCCCTGCACACCCGGCCCTGCGCCTGCAGGGGGCGCTGCACCCGGCGCGCTGCAGCCTCATGTGACCGAATTGGACGCCGCCGCCAGTGGGGGGGGCGGAGGGCCAACGCCTATTTGACTGGAACAACCAGGGACCTGGATTGGACGAGATTGCCCAACTTCTCTCGGATTGGACAGAACAGAGTTTCTTCCGTGATTGGATGAGGAAAGCTCCCACCCAGTCTCCTGGGCGACAGGCTTCTCTTTGAGCCTCATTGGACCCAGCCAGGCCCCAGGCCCCAGTGGACAAGGTCAGTCTTTTCTGGACCTCACTGCGTCATGATCCCATTGGATGGAAGGGAACTGGCTATGAATCTGATTGGAAGCTCTCAGACTACTCCTGGAGTTTCATTGGACAAACTCTTAAGTCATGCCTCTCAGGAGGTAATAAAGGACAATTCACATGCACCTGGCATTTCTGGGATGGGCAAGGTAAACTGAGTCCTGGAGGTCAGAGCTGCCAGGCATTACCCCCTGTCACTTAACTCCAAAATCCCAACTTGTAATGAGGGCCCCAGAACGATGTGATGGCCCCAAGGCTGAGTCCCCAAGAAGCAGACACAAGTAGCTGAAACAATACTTTACTGTCAGGTTCTGCAGGGCCACAGGACCTCGGAAGGGGTCCTCACTGGGCTGGCCCGGCCTCCTCTAAGGCATTCAATAATATTAGTAATTAAATAGCAATGCTCATCCCCCAACCGGAATGTACAACAGAGGTCCCATTGTGCCATGTGGTCCCAAGGGGTCTGGTCCCATGAGGTGTGGTACCCGAGAGGCAGGGGGGGCTCCCTGATGCAGTGGGGTTAAGGCCACAAAGGAAAAGGAGAAGGAATGGGGACCTGGGGACAGCTGGGCTGGTCCATCACATCCAGGAATCTGGCTCAGCTCTTGGGCTGACCGAGTGCAGGGCATGCCAGGCCCTGGGCTCCGTGGGTCCAGATGGGCGGCGGGGGCCCTGGGGTGTGGGAATGCGTGAGGGTTTTCGGTCTGGCTGTGTATCCATCCGGCCCCGTGCCCAGGTCCTCGGCACTTCCGGGCCAGCCAGGGGCCTCCCAGGTGCATCTGGTGGGCCCCCTACACCAGGGCAGGGGCTGCCTTCATCAGAAGAGCTGGACAGGGCTGGGCCTCGGGGCCCAGGCAGCCCGTTGGCCATCCGGCCAGAGTCTCCGGGTTGGCCACACTTGCCACCCAGGACGCTGAGGGACGAAGAGGAAGAGCTGGAGGAACAGTAGGCCGAGTCAGGAGCTGGAGGGTCTGGGGCCCGAGCTGGGTCAGGGGCTGGTCCAGTGGGGGTCCCGCCAGCAGCAGCCTGAAGGGCTCGGGCATTGGCCAGGAACTCCTCTTCCAGGCGCCGGAACAGCTGCTGCTCCTGCTGCGGGTCAAGCTGCAGGGGTGTGCGGAAGACACTGGCCGGTGTGGTGCCCAACTCTGGACTGGGGCTGGAGACCCGGGGAGGCCGGGGGGCTGCAGGGCTGCGCGCACGGGGGGTCTGGGGACTGCCTCTGCCCCGTGGCACCCACGAGTGCTGCCCATCTCGGTCCCTACGCACGAGCAGCACAGCCTGCTCCTCACGGCTCTGGCTCCGGGCCCGCCGGGCAGGGCTGGGGGCCGACAGCTGGGATCCCCTGCCTCCCGACGCCCCACGGGGCCGCCCCCGATCCAGCCCGTCTCGGGACTGGCTGCGCGGGGCAGGGGGCCGTCTCGGGGAGGCTGGGGTGCCTGTGGTCAACCGCCGGCTGGGCCGCTCCCTCCTGGGGCCAGTGCCTGAGTCGTCACTGCGGGCACCAAGAGGGCCACTCTGGGCTGAGGAGGCTGAGGAGTCGCTGTCCCCGGAGTAGCGGCGGGAGCGGGGATGGGGGGGCAGCTGGTCCCGGGCCCTGGGGCAGGGGAACAAGAGAGAGGGATGGGGCACCTTGGAGAGAGGACTTGTGCAGAAAGGGCAGGGGGAGGAACGAACCAGCAGATCTGTGGTTGGGGGGGCTGGGAAGACACCTGTGGTAGTGGTGGGGTGTTGGTGGGGGCTGTCAAGGGCTTCTGTCTGTCCTGGGGACTTCCAAGGAGAAGTAAGAGACACTGCGGCAGCTTCCTGCAGCCAGCCTCCCCCCCACCCCAAGGCAGCGGAAGAGGTAAGGCCTCCGGGCCCTCAGCTCCTGCTCCCCAGGCCTCCCGTTTCCTGGGCAGGCCAGAGGGAAGCAGGGTTGGACTGGCCGCCACCCAGCCCCCAGAGCCCGCCCCAGCTGTGTTGTTCGTTTGGTTGGGTTGCCATGGAGATGGGAAGCCATGCCCGCCCCCACCCACGGGAACTTTTCCCAGGGTGTGAGTCACTCTGGAGCACAGGCTCCTTTGTCATCCGGGCCAGGGCGGACGCCCCCCCACCCCCACTCCATGTCCTCCTGCCTCTCACCTGAGCGGGGTCTCAAGCCCGTCCTTTGAGCTGCGTAAGCTAATGGGTGTCACCTCGGGCCGGGAGCCCCGGCGCTCACCCCCAGGGGCTGGGCTACCAGCACGGGGGCTGGGTGTGGGCGACACCCTCTGTGGGGAGAAGGTGCGGGCCCTCAGCTGGGGTGGACGGTGGCCTGCGGGAAGAGAAGATGGGTGGCCTGTGAGGGGTGGGACCACAGAGATGAGACCCCCACCCTCTCACCCACCCGCCCACGTCCGGTTGGCACTGACCTGAGGAACAGCGGCAAGGGTCGTGCTTGTCCAGGTAGTGCTCCAGCGTGTCCCAGCCGCCACCCACACGCACCATCACGTGGCTCCTCAGCACCTGTGGGAGCCGGCGTGCGCAGGTCACGGCCTTCCCCTGGGCCTGGCAGCCCACCCCCTAGGCTGCCACCTGCCGAGGCAGCCCCTCGCTCTTACCCGCACAAAGATGAGCAAGCTGGAGTCTCCCACGCGGTACTTCCCCTCGGAAACCTTGATCATGGGAAACTGATCTGGGCAGGTGCATCGGCCTAAGATCTCCCTCACCTGAGGCCAGAGAGGAGAGGCTGGGGGTCAGGGGTCAAATCCCTCCTTCTGGGGCCTGATGTCAGCAGCTCAGGGTCAGGAGGAAGTAAGTCCTCTGGGGAACGGGGACATGGACTGTGTTGCCCCAGACGTGGGTGCAGCCTCTACACTTGACCTTTACCAGCTCTCCTTTCTCTTTGGCTAGCAGGGGTCAGGGAACTGAGCAGGATAAGATGGCGGAGCTGTGGTCAGGCCAGGGTCTGTGCCAAGGAGGAGCCCTGGAGCCTGTCCTCACTCCCCCTTCACCCCCTTCACAGACATGAAGGCTCAGGCCCACAGGGAGGCCAGGTCCTGGGAGGAGGCAGGTCATAGGACACGAGTGTTGGGGGCCCACACCACACTGAGGTGGGGGTGCCACAGACACGAGGGGCACACACACACCAACATGCACACACAGGCCACCCGCCCAGCAAGCACACGTCTGCCCACATGCCCCCCCAGGCTGGGAGCTGCCAGGCTGGCTATGTGGGCGGCCCTGCCCGCCTCAGCGCCCACAGCAGAACCAGAGGAAATGAGCAGGTGGGGCCTTGCACGACTCCAGCCCAGGACAGGGGTGGGGAGGGGTGGAGCCTCTGCCCACGGCCAGGCGGCTACCCGCCTCCAGGACGGGCACATCATAGTCCTGACCTCCTGATAAGAAGGAAACTCTTGGCCCAGCCATGGGGGTGTCAGGGACACCTAGGTCCTAGGAGGAGGAGGGAGCCGGGGTCAGGGTCCCGCACATCTATGCTCGGAGCAGAACTAATCCTGCAGCTCCCACAGCAGCAGCAGCTCCGGGCTTGGCTTCCCAGATAAGTGATAAGGGCCCTGGGGAGTGGGAGGGGCCTGCAGAGCCCCTGGGAGCTTCCTAGGCATTCACTGAGCGCCTGCTCTGTACCAGGCACCTTGCCCAGGGCCAAGAGTCTCAGGCACCCACTCAACCTCACGCTCCATGATGTTGTGGCTGCAACTGTCTAGCAGTGGAGCGCAGGGAGGGCATACAGGAGGTGCTCAAATCCTGCGGCCCCTGGAGGAAGGCATACACAGCACTTATCTAGAGCACGGTTAGCGCCCAAAGGAAGGCAGGAGATCATTCCATGGAAGCCCGGATTGTATCCCAGGCCCAGCTGGGCCGTGTGACCTCAACCGGCACCTCTCCCTCTCTGGGCCTGCTCATCTCCTTGGGGTCAGGTATACACTTGGTGCTCAACATATGCACCCTTTTCGTGGGGCCGGCTGTCCTGCAGATAGCAGGGTGGGCCCTGAGAGGTTCAAGGACCAGTTGCAGGCCTGGCTCCATGTCTGGAGCCTGGCACACAGTGCTCAGCAGAGAACTCACCAGCTCGTCGAGGTTGCGCAGGTCGCTGGGCGTCATGCGGGGCCCGCGGTGGGGAGCCCCGGGGACAGCGGTGCTTTCGGTGGGGTCCTCAGCAGCGGGGACGTTGGGGGCCAGGGGTGCAGCGCGCAGCTCCCGCTCGATCTCCTGTTCGAACTGCACGAGGCGCGGGGCGAGCAGGCCGAGGCGGGCCCCGCGCCGCGCCACCTCCAGCAGGCACAGGACCACACTCTTCTCGTTCTTGCGCAGCACCAGGTCCTCGGTCTCGAACATGAGCACTTCGGGCACGCCCAGCTCCGTGCGGCACCAGCCGATGAAGGTGGCCACGTTGTCGCGGGCCATGAAGGAGCCGGGCGCCACGCTGTGCGCCTGGAAGGCCACGCCACGGGCCGGGCGGGCAGCGGCCAAAGCGCGGGCGGCCTCTGTGACAGCGTTGGCATGCTGGCACAGGGTGGTGCCCGTGGCCAGCCCCGTCAGGAAGCCATCGCCACCACTGGGCAGACCCAGGCCGTACAGGGCATTGAGCCACTCGGCCAGGTCCTCCTTCATGGCCTCCACATAGGCCTCACTGGAGCGGAACGGCCGCACGCTCTTGGCTGCCGAGCCCGCGATGCCCGCCACTGGGTCCGCCATGCCCGGGCCAGCCGAGTCACTGTGGGCAGGGACACAGGTCAGACTGGGGTGAGGACCCAGCAAGCACTCAGGACAGACTCAGCCGCTGACCACCTGCACCCGCCCGTCATTTCAGGCCAAATGCCTGGGTTCACGTGCCAGCTATGAAGAACTGCACCTCAGTTTCCTCGTCTGTGAAATGGGTACAATATCACCTTCCTCGTAGGATCTAATGGGATAATTTTTGGAAGTGACTTAGTGTCCATAAGGGTTTGGTGTTTGGCTCTTTTAGGGGGGTAATGGGAGACCAGGCAGGGGGGTCCCCCGTCCTTGTTGCCCGGTGTGATAGGTGAAGAGCTGAGCCCTAGAAGATGAAGCCCACGGCCGGGTGCTCACAGAGAACAGGAGAGGAACCCGATCAGACCTCAGGGAGGGGTTGGCTCCACTGCTCAGGGCTGGTGCCGACCCCACCTCCTCCCTCCTCCGGGAAGGTCCCGGGTCCTCCGTCAGCCCCCAGTTCACGAAGGACTGTGTCATTATAACAACACCATAGCAGTAATAGTAACCGTAACCTCAGTGACCGTGGCCAGGGCTGAGCACGCAGTGATACTGTCTCCATTTTACAGATGAGGCAACTGAGGCTCGGAGAGGGTAAGAGCTCACTCAAGGTCGCAGAGCAGTGGCTGCCGGAGCCGGGCCGCGTTGCTGATCCCCAGCGCGATCCGGCAGCCCGTGGGCCGGGGCCAGGCCCCGCCTCCTCCGAGAAGCCTCCCTAGAGCCCCAGGCCGGGACTCAGAACGGCCTCCGCCAGCCCCTGCTGTCCTTTGCCTTCAGCCCAGAGAGGGTGCGGGGCCGTCCAAGGTCACACAGCCCGAGGAACACAGGCCACAACCGTAGCCGCCAGGTCCCATCAGTGCGCGCCGGGCAGGGGGTGCTAGGGGTCCCCACGCTCACCTGGCTCATCCCGCGGCCTCGGGGAGCATCGCCCTGGCGGGGGCCGGAGCCGGGCCGGGCCGCCGCAGGGAGGCGCCGCCCGAGCAGCGCGGATCCCGGTGCCCGCGGCCTCCGCGCCCGCCGCCGCCGCCCCGCCTCCCTGGAATTCGGATCCGGCCTGGAGGGGGCGGGCGGCCGCGCTCTTAAAGGGGCCGCGCCGTTCCGGGCCGGGCAGGGCGGGCGGGGGAGGAGCTGGAGCCGGAGCCTCCTGAGCGGGGCGGGCCGAGAGTCCGGTCTGAGCCGAGGGGTCCGCCAGGCGACCCTCCGAGCCCAGGCGGCCATCCCACCCAAGCTGGTTCCCACGACCCCTTCCACCCTCCTTGGTCTCCTGGGGAGAGGTTTGGAGCTTTTAACTGCCCCGCAGTGGCTTCCCTAGGCGGGCCGCACGGCCCGGCGGTTCCCAGGACCCACTCAGGAAGCGATAGGGGCCGGGGGCTGCAGAGTCACCTCCGCCCGAGCAGACCTCCCCAGGCCGGATAGCTGAGGCCGCCCCGCCTCGATGGCGAGCTTCCTACCCGCAGGGTCGGCCGCGGGAGGGGGAGGCTGGCCCCGTTTTCCCACTCGGCGTCCGGCTCCTCACTGAGGACTCATTTTTAACCCCGAGTTAGGGGAACCCGTTTCTCCGGTGAGGACACTGAGGCGCAGAGGGGTAGGCAGGCGGCTGAGGCCCACGTGTCTGACGCCGCCGCCGCTACCCAGCAGGCTGGGGACCCGCCAGTCTCCGACCATCTCTCTGGCTGCCCAGGTGGGCGCAGAATAAAGCGGAGAGGGGGACAAGAGGCAGCCTGGAGCGGCCTGGCTCTGGAGGGTTAACCCCCGCTGGTTTCCTTTCCAACTATAGAGGAGGGACCTGGCCAGGATCCGCGGGAAATCCTGCCCCCTGCTGCTCCTGGGTGGGCGACGCCAGGCCTGGCTGGCTGGGCAGCAGCCTTGCTGGCCAGGCGAGGCCAGCTGGAGAGGAAGAACTGCCAAGAATAGCCAACGCTCAGAGCTTTAATAAAGCTCCTACTGTGTGCTGGACCTGCCCTGTGCCCTTGACCTGAAGGAACTGGTGAGTCACCTCCAGGAGGGACGCCGTGATGCCCAAACTAGGGCTCAGTCAGGAGAGCAGCTGATGGAGCTGGGGTGTGGACATAATTATTATGAAAATACCCTCATTCCAGGATCGGGGCATTTGTTGAGTACCTACTGTGTGCTAGACCTCCTTGTCTCACTGAGTCCTCAAGACCATTCAAAAGGGGGCTCTCACCCCAATGCCCTGGACACCCAGGTGGTGCAGGTCCTGCTCTGCCCTCCATCACAGACTGAGGAAGGCCCCTAACTAGTAATAATAATGGCTGACCCTTGCACAGCACCTACTGTGTGCCGAGTCTCTTGGCTCTGGAAACCAAGAGCAAAAGGCAGGGAATGAAACAGAGCTGCCTCTCAGGGCCCGCAGTCCAGCGGGGAGGCGGCTCTGGGCTGAACCAGGCATGAGGCTGGTGAGAACAGAGAGGTGGAGCCAGGCGAGGGGCAGCAGGAGTAGGGGTGGGACTGGCCTGCGATTTACAGTCAGTGGTCAGGAGAGGAGGTGAGGGAGGCAGCTGTGTGAGATCTGGTGGGTATTTCAGGCAGAACGAACAGTCAGGGTGTGTGCTGCAGGTGGGCAGGTGCCTGGGGTGCAAGAAAGAGTGAGGCGGCCTGCGAGGCTGGAGTGGAGGGAGATAAAGGGAGGGACGAGGATAGAGAGATTGTGGACAGATGGAGTAGGGATTGGTGGGCCATGCCTCTTTTGAGGGACATGGGAGCCGTAGAGGGATTTAGAACAGGGGAGAGGTATGACCCGACTTAGGTCTTAGCAGGTTCCCTGTGGCTGCTGTGGTGGGCAGGGCAGGAGCCCCAGAGGAAACCAGGTGGTGCCAGTGGGTGGTGAGAAGATAGTGGATTCCAGCTGTCTTTTGAGGGTAGAGTTTGATAGGATGTGCTGGTGAATTGGGTGTGAATGTGAGGACAGAGGCAGGAACAACTCCCAGGTTTGGGACTTCTGGTACCCAAGGAGGAAGGGACTGCTGGAGATGGGACTGGGGAAAGCTCAGGGTGTGGATACTAAGTAATTTAATCCTCAGAATAATCCTAGGAGGTATGATGCTTTTGTATGTTCTCATTTTATAATTTGGGGAAACTGAGGCCCAGAGAGGGCAAGGGATGTCTGTGGTCAGCAGATGTGCTGGAATTTGACTCTTGCTCTAGACACAGGAGAGGTCAGACTGAACCCAGACTGAACCCTGCTGTTGGTTATTGGGTGAGATGTTTAAGTTCCTGGAGCCTCAGTTGCACCATCTGTAAACTGGGGCAACAGTAGAGTCACATCATAGACTTGTGAAAAATGATAGTATTACTCCACTCAGCGCAGCTGGGGCGTACGTCCACTACTCCTCTGAGGAGGAGGGGACCAGAGGAGGACTTGCACCCCCTCCCTCCAGTCCCCTGAGCTGTGGCCTGCCATCAGAGGCCCGCTCTGACTGTAGACTCCACCATTCTGATTCTAAGACACGTGGCAGGTGTGGTGCCGACTGGGGTGGCCACACCCAGGCCCAGGCCATGGAGGGCATTGAATTTGACCCCTCTGTGGTGTGGCAACCTCTCTTGTTCCTTGCAGGATCGAGGGAAGCCACATGAACTGCTGGAGGGACGAGCACTTTGGCTATGATTGTCCCGAGCCATCCCTGCAGGCCCCAGAGGCCACCTCGGTGTACAGAGTGCTGTGGCTCCACTGCAGGCTCAGTCTAGCTCTGGGGCCAGTGGGCACGTGGCTGGATTTCTTGCCCGCACTGCTGGGTGCCAAGGAGCAGCCTGCTCGGCCTTGGTTGCAGCTGGAGGTCGGGCAATGGCCGCAGAGTGTTCGAGCGAAGCCCTCCCCGGCGGGCCCCGGCCCTGGTACTGGGCAGCTGGGTGCTGGTTGGGTCCATTCAAAGCTCTCCAGGCTAGACGGAGCCTGTGAGCACTGCCCAGGGTGGGTGAGTGACCCACAGGGGACTTCAGGCAGCTCTGTCCAGATGTGGGTCCAACCAGGACAACTGCTCCTGCCCTGGTTGTGCGAGGTGACCCCAAGCTTCCATGAGAGAGAAGCAAAACCAGAAAGCCCAAGAACCTGCTGTCTCCCTCCATCGCGCTGTGTCCACAGCTTGCCCTGAGCCCGGCAGCTCTTCAGGAGCGGGGCAGGGTGGGGCAGCTCCAGAGCCGGCTGTTGGCCCTGGTGTCTGGGGGCTTGGCTCCCAGTCGCATTGGCCATTTGCCCTGGTCACTGCACTGGCCTTGGCCCTGCAGCCGCTTCAGCCCTGAAGCTCCACGTTCCTTCCTTGGAGCACGTGAGCCACTGCCTATGGACCTTTGTCCGTGGCTGGGGCACACATCAGTCTCCCCACTGATCCCACCTTTGCCCCGGTCTGCCGAGCATGGCCTAGAGGCACCATGAGGACGTGTTGTAAATTTGCGTTCCAAGTGTGACTGACCAGCTCTTGGAGAGTTTGGAGCAGGGTGTGGGACTAGGCAAGACTTTATCTGTGACTTGTCCCTCCCACCTCTCCTGCTCCCCTCTGCCCCTGTCCATTCTCCTCTTCCTCCTCCCCGCCTTCCCCCCACCGACCAACCAGCTTTGGGCAGCCCTCTGAGACGGGGCTATGCTGCCTGAGGACATCTGAGGTCAGTGCAGTCCAGACGTTTCTTTTGGCTCAGAGAAATTGGTCTGCCTGACATAAACACCTCCATCCTAAGCCCACCCCTAGGACATGAACACCTAGGACTGTTGAGTGGTGGTGACAAACCCTTCCCTAGGCAGAGCCAAGAGGCTACTCCTGGAGCAGTTCCAGCTCCAGGCAGGAGACAGGCAATGCCTGTCACATGCGATGGTTGTCTGTGCAGCAGTTCCCAGAGAGGGCCACTTGTCGTCCCTTAGCACCCATCGTCTCTTAGCACTGGCTGCAGGCTGGGAGGCAGCGGCTCCATAAGCCCCTGGCCTTTCAGAAACAAGATGCCCCAGTGGGGAGGCAAGAGGGTGAGCGCTGGAGCTCTGGAGGGAGCGTGCCCCTTACCTCGGCGAAAGGGGGGTAGTATCCTACCCACTTCAAAGGGTTAGTAGGAATTAAACGTGTTGGGGCAGTGCTCGGCATGATGCAGGAGCCGTGATGTGGTTAAGTTTGGGCCTGAGGGGTGTGAACCCTGGCTCTGACACTTCTGACGCCTGCCAAGGCTGAGGTGGGCGCGGCCTAGGCCCTTTGGAGGAACGGCGTGCCGGCAGTGGCTGGACTGCAGTGAGCAAGGCAGAGCGGGGCAGCTGAGGTCACAGGGGCCTGCACGGGCCCCATCTCCTAGGGCCTTGTGGTCATGGCAAGTGTGGTGGGAGTCCCTGAAGGGTTTCAAGAATCGACTTGATTTAGGCCTCAAGAAGTCACTCTGGCCTCTGTGGGGGAAGGGCTACAGGGGCCGAGGGAGGCAGGGAGCCCAGCAGAGGTGAGGCGGCTGGTGGAGGTGGGAGGCTGCACTGTACTTTGAAGACAGTGATGGTTGCACTGGGGGCTGGCGCGAACACGAGAACAAGGAGTCAGGAAGGACTCCAAGATTCCATTTGCTGAGATGGGGTGGAGGGAGGAGCGGGGCGGGATCCAGCCCTGCTTGCAGTGCCTCAGACACCCGGGAGGAGGTGGCACTTAGGAGGGAGCAAGAGTCAGCCAGACAAGCGGTCAGAGGAGCCCTGGCACCAGCGTGCGGGTCCTCCTACATTTAGTTCAGGAAGAGGAGGCAGCAGCGAAGATCGGAGAACTGAGAAGGAACCACCACTGATTTGGCAACGTGGAGGCAAAAGACCGATTGGAAGTGGGTTCTAGAAAGGGAGAGGAGGAGGAAACTAAGGGAAGAGACAAATGGTTTGGTGGCTGGATGGCAATAATGAGGGGTTAAGGGAGCGTTTTGCAAAGGTGGGAGAGCAATGCATATTCATAGGAAATGACTCAGCAATGCAGACATGGAACCTGGGACCACAAAGCTGTGTGTTGAACATCCGTCCAGGAGGGCAGGGGAGAGTGCCCGGGACCCACCCTGGCCACCAGCAGAGCACAGGCGAGCAATGCAAACCCCGTGCGGCAGGGCCACCGTGAGCAATGAAGGACACACCAGCTCCACAGATGCTTCCCAAGGCCCTGCTCCCACTGGGCAGGGGATGGAAGAAAAAGAGTTTCTCCCACATTTTCTTGTGCCTGCCCCTGGCTAAAGGTGACAATCTCTCCTGGACCCTTTGGACACGAGCCAGTCTTTTTTGACGGGGAGGATGTGCTGAGGGCCGAGTTTGTTTCTTGACTGTCTGGTGATGAACTTCTTTATTCGCTGACGGAGTCACAGTGCTTACCTGGCGTCAATCTTTGAACGACTGCTGTCACCCACGCACAGGAGGGCCAGACCCCAATCTACCAGCCTGGACCTGAAACAAACACTCGTCTCTTCTTGGATTTGCATAAAGGTAAGACTGACCAAAAAGGCCAAGAGGTGTAGGGTCTGGGGCTCTTCTCATCTTCTCCCTAAGTTTCAGAAACACGTCCATTGGAAAAAGCCCTGACCTCTGACCTCGCACAAAGCAACCGTTGATCTTTACAGTAGCCTCTATTTTAGTATTAGACTGTTGACCAAATTTTAAAACTCTGACATCCTAACATCAAGGAAGCTTCAACATCACCGAGTAGGAAATGAAAATAAGGGTTCCCCACCCCGAGCTGTCACTGCGGCTGACCTTCGTCCTGCTGAGCGTGAACCCTGACTCGGAACGCACACCAAACTGCGCTGCCTGGGAGCGTCATTCACAGACGTTCATGCGAACCGAAGGGGCTTCGGAGGACTCCATGCTGCGGTGACAGAGCCTCCACACAGCCCTCCCCACTCCAAATCAGACAGACCCGGGCTATGACACCCTGCCACGAGACACGGCCCAGGGTCAAAGGGACACTCCAATCCCCTTTTCTTGGCTGGCAGCTTGTGACCCATGCTGGGCTGTCCCACCTTGTTTTCACGTCACAACCATTTCAGATTCCCCTGTCGACACCTGGAGGGGCCTTGTCTGGGACACGCTCCAGACAGACATGCAGCGACTGCGGAACAGAGGCTGAGAAGGATGACTGTTTATAAACATTTGGAATTTTATTTAAAAAAAAAAACATCACAACCATGAACATTGTTACAGTTAGAGGCCCTCTTGGTTCTCCACAATGATACTGAGCATGCTCACAAGGGATTCCCATTGTTAAGTCTTAGTTAAACAACCATCTTTAAATGAAGAAAAAAAAACTCGGCACACTACCATTTAACTTGTTTTAATGTTTCTTCACAAATGGTGAAAAATACTAAAGTACAGACAAGGAATAATCATAATGTTGTGGCCAACATTATAAATATGGAATTATAAATTTAAAACATTTTCTGGTTTAAAAAATAAATCTGGTAGTCAATGCAGCTCTGTGGGGTCTCTGCACCTAGTAGGGCCGGTCTCTGCGTTCCTGACGGTGCTCGCCTCTGGAAGGCAATAAGGAGAAGGGGCGAGGGTTAAAGTGGGGAAAGGAAGCCCTTCCACACAGACCTGAGCCCGGGGAGGCCTCCGGCCTCCTTGTAGCAGGGCGGGCGCGCTGCAGGCAAAGACGGGAAGCGGCTGCCCCGGCGATGAGCCCTGTGGCCCCCGGCTGGTCTTCACCCTCACATACTTATCCATTTTTCCAGGTCCTCCACGCCCGCCTCTTCTTCCTCCCATCTGTTCCATCAAAGGTCCAGGGGGTCCCCCGGGGCCACCTCGTCTTCCTCCACCAAAGCCACCTCGGTCCATGCCCCGGCCGCCACGGAAGCCACCTCTGTCTCCACCACGGCCACCTCTGAACATTCCACCAGGACCACCGCGGTCCATGAGGCCACCTCTTCCTCCTCGCATGCCACCAGGGCCACCTCTGCCGCGGTCACCACCTAAGGTAAGGGAGAGGACAGGAGAGAACAGATCAGTGGCAAGACAAAGAAAAAGGGTGGATGCAGAGGCTGCTCAGGATCTCCTGCCTTCTCCCAGAGCAGAAACAAAGCAGACACCTTCCTTGATCCAAACCTCTGGGTCACACTCTAGAAGTGATGACAGAACTGCAAGGGCCCCAGCACTAGGGCTGCACTTACTGAAACCACTCACTGACCTGGTTCTCAGCAGCGCGCAACTGTAGTTTACCAAGCCCACCAAGTTAACAAAAGAGGTTTAGTACCAAAAGCTGAGGGGATGCTCACAAAACCTGTACCTACCCGGGGGCGGAAAGGGCGGCGGGAGGAAGCCTTCAGGCTTCGGGGCCTTACACTGGTTGCATTCTGTTCTCCAGGCGAAGTTCTGGTTTCCACACCCCCTGTGTAAAATTGTATCACAAGAGAAATCAGCAATTGAACTAAGGAAGTTGAACAAGCAGAGGCGACACGAGCAGGCACATACTGTGCTCCACCACCACAAACACTGGGTCCCGGGTCAAACACCATTAAGAGAATCTGTCCACAGCAAATGGCTTTAGAGAGAGCGAGCCTCAGGCAGCAATGCACCCACAGGACCAGCGTCTGATCCAGCAAAACATCTGTACAGCCAGGGACACGTGGACCCTAGGAGTCCGGTGGACTGCGCCCTTCTTCAGAAGGCTCTGAAGCAGCTGGTGAACGATAGATTAGGTCACCTACCCCACGACAGAGCAACCAGGGTCATCATTATGCTCCTCTAGACAAAGAGAATCCAGCAGGCCTCCTCTCCAGAGTGGGAATGGGGTGAAATGTAGGGTATCAACTTGCCAAGAGAAGTACATACGGATTGGGGCACTGCCAGTCTCCAGCTCGGTGCTGGACGTTTCCTCCTCCGGATGGGTTCCCTCGGGAACCCCGGGGCCCTCTTGGGGGGAAGCCTCCTCTGTCTCCTCCACGGCCTCCCATGCGACCCATGGGACCCCCAGGACCTCCTGGGCCCCCTGGACCTGCAATAAGAAAAAGCAAATCATCTCCTCGCACCCGACTTGCTACAGGGAAATACATATCAATAAGATCACAGCTGTCTGTGAGCCACCATCTGCCCCACTCTCTTCCACAGGCCCCAGGGCCGAGCTTGTACTTCCCGCATACGTTACTTGAGTGAGTCCCCACAACGGTATGACTGCCAGCATTTTCATACAGATGCAGAAACCAGAGCAGAATAAGTAAATGGCAGCTTCAGGGTTGACACCCAGGCAGAGCGGTTCCATGGGGATTCCAACCTTCCTGACCGAGCAACCCACATTCTTTTCTTCCTTTTACTCCCACAAACTTCTACTGTCAGCATTCAATAGTCGAGTAGTGACCCTACACATCTTTACGTATTTCTAATGGGCTTGTCTTCACTCTAGAAATCGTTTCTCAGACAAAGGTAATAAAAAACGTTCAAAGCATCTCAGAGGTAGCTCAGAGAAGGTGCTCAGTAAATACCTCCACGGAGCGGCGGCGGCATCCCTCTGCCCTCACGGGGAGGCATGCCACCTCGCATGCTGTTCATCGGAGGCTTCTTCCGAGCAAGAGAGACTTTAAGTTTGCTCCCCTGAAAATCTTTCCCTGGAACAAGATAACAGAACATCAGTTACTCCCAACCTCCAATTCTCCCTCCTTGAGGGACTGCGCAAGGCTAGGCTACTCCTTTTTCACCAACTCCATGTCACCAACTCAACCATTCCCAATGTACAAGTGTGCCCTACTCATAACCTTCTCTAAGATCTTTACTGGCAAGGCCAGAAAAGGCCTTTACCCAGGATCAATGTCAGGGCTATATTAGAAACTCACACGTGTACTGGCTAAGATGTTTGTGGGGCTTTCTGTACCTTCTCACATCTGTACTCAGAAAAGCATTTACAACTTTTTTCCCCCGCTTTTCTCTCCCCTAATCCCCCCAGTATATAGCTGTATATTTTAGTTGTGGGTCATTCTAGTTGTGGCATGTGGGATGCTGCCTCACTGTGGCCTGATGAGCAGTGCTATGTCTGTACCCAGGATCCAAACCAGCGAAACCCTGGGCCGCTGAAGTGGAGTGCGCAAACTTAACCACTCGTCCACGGGGACAGGCCCACAACTTTTAAGCAAAGTGGATTTCTAATAATAACAACTGAAAATAAGGGATCTCCTAATCCAGGGTCAGCAGCTGGACCTTCACAAGGCTAAAGGGAGCCAGGCAAGCAGCTTCCTAACAGTCGGCCTGTGCTCTTCCAGGAGCAGACAGAGGGTCTTCTTGCTCCGACGGCCAAGCTCCTCCCTCCTGCCATGCCCTATAGTCACAAACAGGGACAATCTATCTGTCCCTCTAGCTACAACCACTTCAAAGACTGATGTTCTAACAGAGTTCAATACATTAGCAAGACCCTTTCTTTACTTGCAAGGTGACATGCAACAGTTGCTACAAGACCCTCTGTGTGCCCCAGAGCAGGCAGAGTACAGAATGCCAGTGAGCACACCCGTGTCAATCTAGGGCTCCTACCATCAAACCACTCCACGGCTGCCTTGGCAGTTGGCGGGTCTTCATAGGACACTGTAGCATCGCCTTTAGGCTTTCCTGTTTCCTTGTCCAAGTAGATATGGATCATGGGTTGTCCAGTTCTCTTGTTCATCTAGGCATAAAAGCATAGTTAGGTTGTGACCAGAATATACTAGTTTGGGAGGAAAAAGTCTATGTGAAATTCAAAGAAGTCCCATAAACTGTCAAAAGGAGTACTTTTTCACAGATACACATTCAGTAGGACGTTAACCTCTGAGTAGTGGACTTACAAGTGACTTACCTCCTAAATTGCTACAACAAATACATACTTAAGCTGACTTTTCCCTCTTACATGTGTTTTATCATAAAAACCAAAACAGGCCCAACCTTCCCAAGTGTGTAAGCGAACAGAACAGGCCACACTTCTTTCCTAGCAATCTGCTCCTGGTGTCCTGGCACCTGCCCCAACCTCCTCTATCCCTCACGGACAGGCACCCAGGGAGAGCAGCCACCTCTCAGTAAGCACTCAGGATTTGACGCCATCACATAAAACATGTCTCACGTAAAATAACAATTACCCTTAAATCATGAAATACAGTAGACAGGGCTCTGAGTGTGCTTAAAGCATTCTTTCTTTTTTTAAAAGACTGGCACCTGAGCTAACAACTGTTTTCAATCTTCTTTTTTTCCTGCTTTTTCTCCCCAAATCACCCCAGCACATAGTTGTATATTTTAGTTGTGGGCCCTTCTAGTTGTGACTTGTGGGATGCCGCCTCAATATGGCCTGAGTGGTGCCACGTTGGTGCCCAGGATCAGAACCGGCGAACCCCAGGCCAACAAAGCGGAACATATGCACTTAACCACCACGGGGCCGGCCTGTCGATTAGGGTTTTTAAGGAACTACATAAACTGATTCTAACACGTATATTTAGAAGAGCAAGGAGTAAACAGCAAAACACTCCAGAAGAAAAAGAACAAGTATTCGCCTTACTGGGTATCAAGACTTAGCATAAATAATTAGTAATTAACTCTGCTGTTAGCACAGGATCATACAAATTAACCAAAAGTATACACGGCAGCCAGGAAATAGATCCAAGAACTTTCTGTGCGACAGATATAGTACTATATACCACTGGGGAAACGATGGATCTTTCAATAAATGTTGCTGGAACAAAAGGTTTTGCAAATAGAAAAGAATAAAGACACAAACCAGTAAGGAAAAGACTGATAATGAACAGTTCAACTACATTAAAATTAAGAACTTCTATTGATCAAAAGAAAATGAATAACAAAGCTAGCCAGAAACTGGCAGACTATATTTGCAACACATACAAGGCTCAGCATTCAAACAATATAAACAACTATGAGTAAATCAACAAATGACAACCCAACCAAAAATGAGTACAAGAAACAAACAGGCAGTTCATAGAAGATGGTATGCAACTAGAACATTATTAGTAACCAGGAAAAAGCAAATTAAAACCACATTTCCATTTTCTTCTACCAAGCAAAAGTTAGCAAAAGTTAAAAAGTCAGGTGATTGCCATCAGTGGCGAGGATGTGATGAACGCGATCCCAGGACTGCTGGCAGAGTCTAAGTTGGCCAGCCATACTGTTACCTCGTGAAGTTAAACCTGTACACACACCTTAAGAACCAGCAATTCTACACCTGGGTCCGGTCGATCTTCATTATTCAGGGATTCAGTATTTGCAAATTTGACTACCTGCTAATATTTATGTGTAACTCCCAAATCAATACTTGTGGCACTTTGGTGGTTAATTGGAGGT